CAGCTGTGCATATTCATTTTCTAACGCCAAGTATTTTCCATATCAATAGAATAATCAGAAAGAAATTTTTTGATTATATTAGAATACATAATAAATTCCATTCTTTTCCAAATAATCGAGTAAAAAATGATGTTAAAAGGTTTGCTAAAAAAATTTTTAATTAGTTTTTAATAAGTAGTAGAATTTTTTCATTTTTATAAATTTTTAAAAATGAATTTTTCAATTAATAAAATCTAGAAACTTGTTCTTACAACACTTTTGAACGCATTTTTGTGCAAATAATGAAATGGACTGTTTGGGGATCTTTTCTTATCGTTTGTGCAGTGGGGTCAATTTGTCATCTCTTTCAAATCTTATCATTTTCTATCATTTCTCAAAAGGTCAGTGCATTGAAAAAAATAAATAGCAAAGCTTTCACATACTCAAATTTCTAATTCTATTCCAATGTTTGAAAACCAAATTTTGTTTATTTCATTAAATACGTTTCCATCCAAAAATATGCTTTGAAGTGCTAAATATTTATTTCACTTTCAAAATATAAATTTTTTTAGTCAAATGGAGTTATGATTTTATTGTTTTGTGTGTGCAGCCTGTGGTATGCTGAAAACATTTATTGAGCAGTAAAAGTTGAGAAAATCAGTAATTTTTGTACGTAATGTGAAATTTTCACAATTTACAGATTCACTCTATATTACTTACTTGTAGATGAATGATGTAAGATGAGAAAAATTATGTGACCAATACAAGTTTAGGAAAGTTATGCCTTTAAAAAGTGCATAAGAATATCATAACTTGTCTTGAGGTTTTTAACTAATAACACTTGTTTGTATGCACTTTCATTTCCCAAGATATTCAATGTTCAGAGTATTTCCTATTCTCCGTAATTTTTTTTGTTGCATAAGATAAAAAGTAGGGAAATTACATTACTGTAAGTGAAGTTGATAATAATCTTAATCTTGGGAAATGAAGGTTAACAAATAATTAAAACAAACAGAAAGACTACGAGAGGATCATTTTCGAAATAAAATTTAGGGTTGTTTAGAGGGAATAATTGTAATAACGACAACTCGTATTAATGATAACGATGCTTACTATATTGATTATAATGTTACTGATGAAAAATACGATGTCATAAACAACAACAAAAATACTATTTATGAATTGCCACAGCTGTTTGTTGCTCTGACAAAAATAATATAATAATATGGAATTTGTTAAAAAAAAAGAAAATTTATCAATTGTGTTGAATAAACTAAAATGAATGCTTCGTCACTGTAAATAAGTGGGAAGGCAAATTGCATTTTGAATTTATTCATATTTTTTACACATTTTACATAGTTAAATTATATGTGTAAGAGCAACAAGCAACAACGACAATTCATAAAAATTCGGTTTATTTGCTATTTGTAATGTAAATGTCATTTCATGCAGTGAAAACTGCAATCGATCAAATTTACTTAAAAGAAAAATTGCCGCTTTGATTGAATTAATCAAATTTTGAAAAATATTATGAATTAGAAAACAATGTAAGTTAAGTTAAAAATAAAAGTTTAGCTTTTTCTTTTTTTTCAATGATGAATATATGGTAACTATGATTACCAGTTCTAATGGTACCAGGTGCTTAAGATGAAAAAAAGCCTTTCATTTTTTGCATAAAATATACAATCACAATGACCTCAATGCAAGTAATGACTGTTTACTCCATTAATCAAACATCAAACTACCAAAGTAAAGAGTTACCTAAAATAATTTTGGTGTGCACTTCTCTAATTCTTCTCTCTGATATTTATGTTGAAAAGATAAAGTCAAAATTGATAGTTGATCAAGATAATCACCAATAAACTAAAAAAATATATCTTAGAGAAAAAATAAGTAATGATCTAAATAAAACAAAGTGAAATTGTTTTAAATAAAGTTCTCCTAGGACCAAAAGCTCTTTCTTCAAAATTGCTCATTGCTTTTAGCTTTTTTGAAAATCTTTTAAAATCTATAGAAATTAGTTAACAAAGAAATTTTAAGAACTTTTGTCTCAAAAATTACTTTAATTGAAATTAATGCAACGTTTAAACTAAATATAGCCAGTAAAAGTACAAGCAGTAAGATTTAAAGGTAGAAAGCATTTATGTATGAGTATCTGCTTTAAATCACAATGGTACCTAAGATCAGTTAGGTCGAAAGATCATATTTGAGGGGGCAACCAAATCAAATAAATTGTGACAAAGGAAACAAATGTAATTCGCATCCAATATTAATAATAGTTTATCAAGCAGTAATTTTGATAAAAAGTTCTGCATACATTGTCTTAGTTAAATTTTTCAAGCAAATAAAAAATATTATCAAAATTTAGCATGAATGAATTAAAAACATCATAAAATTAGAAAAAGTTAACTGCACAAATTATCAAAACTAATTGATAGTATTAAATGATAATGCATTATTTATTGTATTCTATGTAGCACATGCCACAAATGAATATTATTATTAAATAAATGCACAGTTAGAAATGTAAATCACAGAAATAACAGCAATAACGAATATCTAAATTTTTTTAGTGTAAGTAATTAAAAAAAGCAACGTTGAAGCTGTTAATTTTGAAGCATTTTGTATTTCCTTTAATGTACTTCAGAGTTAGTTTCAATTCGAAAAAGTCGACATCAGCATTACGATCTTGCGAAAGTTACTAATAAACATTAGCATTATGATCTTAAGTGCATTATTATAAAATGAATTCAAAGCATTCACCAGTTTTTTCTAGCACTAAAGTTTGTTCAACTATCAAGACTTTAACTCTTAACTCATGTGATTTTGAGAGTTTGGTTTAGACTTTTTTCTGAATCTTTGGAACTCATTTCTGTTTGAAACATTCTAAATTCAGCTTTTAATTCAGGCAATCCCTTTGAAAGTCTTCAACGGAGGCAGACAGCTGCCATTATTTGAATCCCTCGTTGTGAACTTTCACCCATACACGTAAAATATTTTCAGTAAATTGAAATTTTGTGCCTTTCAGCAATGAACGTCAAATAAAGTAAGCATTTACTATCAATTTAAGCTTTTTACCATTGCAATTTTGATTTTTTGTATGCATAAGAAAAATTGCTTTTATTGTAGTCTGTCAAGTTTACGGTATAATTCATTGTTAAACCCACTACTGTCATCAATGCCATCTGTCAATAGAGAAAGGACTACACTGAATGCAGGCCCTTTCTTCACGCAACAATCTTTCGCTTTCCACAGTCCTATTTACTAACGATTAGCAAAATGCATGAATGAAGCTTAGCACTGATTGTAATTATAATTATATTTGATTGTAATTATATTTTTGAATTGAAAATGAACGAGGGTTCAATTTTTGGATCGTGATTGAATCAATATTAGGATTATGGTTAGAATTAAATTAAAGTTTAAACTTGTAGTTTGAAATACTGCAAGTTTTAAAATAGTCAGTCCTAAATCTGGAGTGTGATAAGATCATTGTATTTATTGATCGTATCATCTCTACTTGTAAAAAGTAAAGGCTACTTATAATTTCTTTCACTCTTGAAATCAAATGAACACGAAAGCAATAATTTGTACATTTATGTCGTAATTCATAATTAATGTTTAACTGTTTTTTTAATCATCTGATATTTATTACTTATTTGTGTTTAATGAAAAGTTTCAGTTGTTTGTTGTTAAATATATTTGAACTCTGATCACTGAACTTTGATCATTTAATGAATCAATAGGTAATTAAAGAGTATCAATTTGAGGAGAGTACTTGATCGAATAGGAGAACGAGCAATTGTTATGATATGTTGCGTGCACTTCTAGAACTTCATTTCTAACAGTAACTACAGAGTGACAAATTTTTGCACGAAGTAATTTGCACTTATTTCTTCTCATTCCATCAGTGCACACCAGATCTTTTATGCCAATCACTCTATCGGCAAACAATAATAAATCTCTCGCAGACATTTCTTTCACACAATGATTAATTAATCGCTCAGTCAATCAACAGACCAGATATTCAATCATTGTGCACTTTCCTTACTTTGCTCTCTTTGAGTGGAACCAGTAAAAAAAGCTTTGTTTTTACAGTTCGAGCTGAATTTAAGTCAAATAGTACAATATGAAAGGTAATAAGATGGAAGTAAAACAGTTATGACTAACAAATTACTATACTCAAGTGTACCGGTTTTTCACTAGTTACTGCAATCGCCAATAAAGTATGATAATCTGTACAGCCATTGTGAAAATCACGAAATTCTAACATCTGAAAAAGGAAAAATAGCTGTTTTTTTGCATTTACTGATACGTTTTCATCTACAAACCAAATTCTTATTTGCTTCTGAGTTATATTGTATTGATGAATTTTCAACAGAAGAAATCGCACTATTATTATTATTAGTGGTAATAATATTTGCTTGCAATATATCATTTTCCAATAACAACACGAATAATAATAACAATAATAATAATAATAATAATAATAATAATAATAATCAAACACTAATAACAACTATACCTATATGACAATAACATGTGATATTTATGTGCAGATATTGGTAATACCAATTGTGATACCAATATTAAAGACATTATCGTTAGTACTACTGTTGCTCAGAATATTAGTAATAATAATTGTAGTAACAACAGATTACTACTCAAGTGTACCAGTTTGTCACTAATGATTGATGAAGATCCAGTGCAATGAGTGCGAGTGCACACACGCGCGCACGAACCGTTTGCTCTGAAAAGTGGAACCAGCAGCTGAATGCAGAAGTAGAAATAAATTTACGGAAAATTAAATAATTACTCCCTAATTTTTTTCGCTAATGAAGTACCGTAATTTCCTATTCTCATCAATTACCATAAACATCATCAGTTGCTTTTTTACCGTACGCAATAATTACTTTTCTGCAAGTTGTTACAGCCATACATTTGCAGATGCTTTCCTTAACACTAAAATGAAGACGAAGAAACCAAAGTACTATGATAACATGTCGATATTATCGTAGTACTAATGTTTTAAAGATACCTAAATATCTAATAATTCTCATCAAATTTCTAATGACGAATTTCTCGCTAAATTGTGAATTTAGAATCTGAGTGTTTGAACTCATCTTCTCCCTGTACGAGCGAGTCATGCATGCACTTGGTCCGAACCCGGGAAATTTTGAACAAACTTACCAACCGAAGGCAAGTGCGGGTAAATATAGGCCGACAGTTCTCCGATGGTGTTGTCTTTCGAAGATTAAAGTTGTATCGAAAAATTTTTTATCATAACCACGCGCATTGATCAGTGTGACCAACCAAACCATCTGTCGACTAACAGCTCACTCCCGAATCTGTTTATAATTTGATATTTAGCAAGTAGACAAATTTTATAAATTGTTCTAAATTCACCAGTACAATTAAAGGATAAACAGCCTTCAAGTCCTTCAAATAAATAGCATCACTGAAGATTAGGAGATATTGGTCTTGTTGGCAAAAGACCTCACCCTTGGAGTACAAATTCATCGAGAACTGTTATTTAAGTTGTTGAACTGATAATTCGACAACTTTTATTTGGTAGCTCTTATCCCAATTTTCGCCTACTTCGTTAGAAATGATTTCTACATCTAATTATATATTTCTTTCAAATCCTCAACAGTAAATGATTAAATTTAACATGTTCAACAACACATCTAGGTAGAATCACACTTAAAAAAAACAGTATAAAGTTTTAAACTTTTCTTGATCCTACTCGTGAAAAATTATAAAATATGGATCATTCGGTCAATACCATAATTCAATTCACGAAAGTAAAATTTCTGTCGTATCACTAGGTGCGTCACACTATTTACTTAGTTCTAGCTAACAATGACAAATAATCTTTCCTACCATATACCCCAGAAAGTTCATCTCAGATACCTTTTCGAAGTCAAGGCTTCACAAATGATTGTATCACTCAAGTAGTTTTTTCTCTTTCATCCTGAGAACAAGAAAAACAGCTGTCCGCTCAGTATACACACATAAACATGAATATAAACATGCATATGTATATCATATATGTATATTTGTAATAATTTCTGCATACACGATATATAAACTAAATAAAATAATTTGGTAGCAAGCTATTAATTGTATTTACATACAAAATGTATATCACGATGCAGACCGTGAGCCTTCTCCATATTATTTTTTTCCTTCATGTATCTGTGAAAGCCGAATATACTGTAAACAAAAATTTTGTGCACTAACTTGCATGGCAGTAATAAATATAAAATATCTCTCTCAAACTGTATTAATTTGATATAATAAAAATTGATCTTAGGGATTTAATCACCATAAGACTTTATATAGATTCTCTGATATCCACTTGAAAACCTAATTATTAAAGGAAAAAATTATGAAAATTGTCAAAATAATCGTTAGAAATTATTAATGAGCAATTCAAATATTTAACAGAAAAAGCACCTAAAAAACTTTTTGGCCTAGTACTCTAACAAATCATTAAAGTTCAATAATGGGAACGGTTTGTTGATTGAATGTTACTTCTGTAATTGTATGAGCCCCATTGTACTGAAAAGTTTCCATACGTGCATTGTTGGGGTCTGCCCAAATTTGCTGCAACATAAAAATATTTCAAAATTACACTGTTTGAGTCATTATAATTTATGTCGCGACAAGTATATTGGATAATGTGAAAAAAAAATCATATTTTAATGTTTTTCAGTGGAAAAATTCGATTTAAATCTGTGTTCGATTTACACTTAAAAGTATTAAAATTTTTTCGTTTTTCTGCAGCGAAAAACTGGTAGGCCAGAAGTCTTTGAGGGTCGGTCAGGATCAGTACAAGTAATTTCTAATGGTCAAGGTAAAAAGAATGTTGGTTTCAAATTAATTCAGTTTAATAAACTGACTGTTTCATTTCTCATCTGCTCAGCCATTAAACGAATTTGGCTTTCATCACTGTCGCCAAAAGGATGAAGCTGCAATTGCTCCGATATCTGAGAACTAGTAGATGCACCACTAACAACAAATGCCAATCTATCGATCATTTGTTCTAAAAATGAAATATTAACTTTTAGAAAAATTCCTTAAATATTTTCAAATTTCATATATATCGCTACGTATACACAACTGATGCAATTATTTTTTGAAAACAACTAGCGCTGGTATTACGGATATCATCAACTTCAGCAAATAAGAGAAATCTTTTTACCTTGACCATTAGAAATTACTTGTACTGATCCTGACCGACCCTCAAAGACTTCTGGCCTACCAGTTTTTCGCTGCAGAAAAACGAAAAAATTTTAATACTTTTAACGCAATTCTCCTCAAAAAAAATTCACTGAACACAACTTATAATACTACAATTTTTATAGCCTAAACTTACATTAGTCTTAATCAGTAACAAGGTGGTTGAAAGTTAACGTGAAACTTTCCATCAAAATAAATACTTGATAAAAAACAAGCATAATACCTTAACTTCTTTAATATCCTCTTTGATTTTTTTCACTTCTTCGACTTCCCTGATTTCTTTGACCTCTTTAACTTTTTTGACTTCCTGTACCTTATGTTGTGTTTGAGAAGGAATTTCTTCTTCATCTTTGATTATTTTGAACACTTCATCTTTGGATGGTAATTCCGAAACTTCTTCCTTATTTCCATCGGCAGACTACAAAAAATTCAATTCTACCGCTTCAATGCTTTTTTTCAAATACAAGATAGATGGATGAAAATACAGTAAGAAGGATAAAGGAAACTGTGGGCGAAAAATGCCAAGACAGGAAATTTCGAAAAGTAACAGATCTGGAAACACGCAAGAAAGCTTAAAGAAGAACATGTAGTGCTAGCATTTTTTTTCATTATAGCCTGCAGTCCAAATAAAATAGAAAGAAATTGTTGCCAGAAATTTCAAAGATGTAAGCAATAAGTCTTCATAGAACAGAATAAACAAACCCTCCTATTTAATTCCTTTTCTTGCTTCTCCTCCTCAGTTTGCAGTTCTTCTTCCTTCTCATTTGGATTTTCTTCCTTCGTCTCATCATGTTCTTCAGTACCGAGTTCAATACAAACCCTTTCATTAACTGAAGTACACTGTTTATCATCTATCTTTTTACTTTTTGGACCTCTTTTTCGAGACTTTGTTGAGGGCTCCTTCATATTTTCTACGGCTGGCTCTACTGTCCCAGTTGAGGATATACCAGGCCTTGAATGAGTGCCCATTTTTGGAGAAATTTCTGATCCTGAAAAGTAATTCACAATAACACGACTCCCTTATGCATATTTAAAAAAAAAATACCGATGGGTAAGAAACGGAGAAAAGTTAATGAAGACGATTATAGAATAACTATAGTTTTTAAGAATTTTACTCTCGCTTTAACTTCTATCAAAACATCTAACTCAGACATGTAAATTAAGTAGAAATTAGTACAGCAATATATTGCTTGGTATTTTTTGATTTTAAGGAATGCGAGAAGATGATTTCACCTTCTGAATGGCATTCACTGGAAACTTCATCTTCATAACTCTGAATATCAACATCAGAATCATCAGAATCTGATACTTCTTTTATTTTTCGCTTCCTACCACGAGCAGAACGTCTAAGTTCCTTTTTGTTGCCATTTTTAAAGCCTTCCGGTACAGTAAAACCTGATTCCGTAAACAAGTTTTCATTTAAGATATTGCTCAAAGGCTCCCACGTATTGTAACTAAAAGTTGATAAATACAAATAAGTGGAAAATATAACAAAATAATGTTCACTACCTAGGATATTCAAGGAAGTTTCGTGTCATGTAATAGCGAAGATCTGACAGAGCCAATAAATGAGACTGAAAACTGAAAATGCTTACTGATTTGACCACCCTTTCCATTTGATCAGGTATTCCGTCTTTCCCTAAAGAAAAGCTCATAAAATAATATTCTGGAAAACGTTGAGACTAAATATTCCTACAAGTGAAAAGAAGCAAACAATCGAATGTCTTAAATGATCCCCGCACTTCTGTAATTTTAAAATGAAATTTTTTAGTTAGCTCACTAAGTAGAAATCTTCGCACAGCAAATAAATATCTAAAAATATTACACCTGACAGATGTTTCAGATGTACTACGTACATCAAATACTTGATAACCTCAATAGAACTTTGCATTCAATAATATTGAGAAAAAAATAAATACCAAATGTCGAAAAAACATTACTTCTGCTCAATCTTCAAATGTTTATTTCTTTAAATCTAATATTCTACCTTAAGCGATAAAACTGGATAAGAAATTTAAATGCAACTGGCTGAAGTTTAGAACAGAATGCTGAGTAGGAAAATTGACATAGACAATATGAACCGAAGGAAAAAGTTCTAAAAAAATATCAAAGTGTTACATAAAAACATGTTACATTATCAATGCTAAGAAATAAAAAGTGCCTAGAAAATATTCTTATATAACTTAAAAACTTAACATAATGCAAGCACACACTTTGATATTTTGAATTTATGGACATTACACCTTGATATTTCTTTAAAGTTTTTCCATTACTGACAACTTTTCAAAGCCACAAAGTCTTCTAAATCGTCTTTTTGTTTTGATATATAATAGCACATTCCTGACAATAATGGTTGACTAAACATATTTTTTATCAGGCGTGAAAAAAAAAATACTTCATGAAACAATGGAAATTTTTACTTTCATGATAAAAGACAGTTCAACATTCAAAAACATACACTTACTTTCCTTATTCGGCATCTCAAAATTTTTTCTGCTGCATAGACATCTTGCCCATCTAAAGGATCCATAAAATTTGTAAAAACGAATAAGACGCTCCAGTTTAAATACACTGCAATAAAACCACAAGCGTTTTCAATGACAAAGAAGACGTGAACGCCATATATATGTATCGATAAACATTAAAACTAATACTGATAATATTATAATGCAAAATGAACAAACATTCAGCTAAAAGCACTTTATGATTGAATAGTAAATAATCTCGTGAAATCCTATTTAAACTGGCTCAAAGAATCAGATTTGAATTTCAACAAATTGATCGTTAATTTTCGTTATTATGACAATGAACAATAATATTAATTTTGAAGAAAAGGTCGAAAATTTATCCAAAAAAGCAGAGAAAAATATAAAAAATGCATATGTAAGACAAATGAAGTTTTTTTTGCAACATCCATATAGGACGAGCAAAAAGCCAGGAAAAGCGGTAAATCAACATTTCCATTTCTTTTATTTTTTCAAATTACAAAGACGAAGAAGGCAACAGAATCTAACACCAAAACGAATAATTAAAAGTGCAATCAATTCATACGACTCTTTCAGATATAAGACAAAAATTATGACATACTCGTGCACGTATGTTTGTGATGTATTTAATTACAGATATTAATACGTAAGTATAATTTAATTTATCAAGGGATATAAAGCAAGCAATTAGAGAAAAATTAAAATTGATCTAAGAGAAATATGAACTAAATGCGCTTTACTCAATAAATTCTAGATTTCTCATTGCAGTTATTATAAGAAACTTAAATTTCGCCAAAATCAAAAAATAAATTAAACATTTTTGTAACCATTATATTGTTTTTACATATCGAATGTTCTGAATGAGTGAAAATTTAACGAACAGTAAATAGCAGATAAGAATCAGCAACTTTCAGCACACATATACACAAATACATACAAGTTTGAAATAGAGTTAGTTATATAAGAAAACCGGATCTGGAATCATAGCAGAAATATGAGAAAACAGAAGAAACTGTGAAAAGCGCTGTGAAAAATGTGAGATAGCACTCTGCCAGTGTACCGGAACTAGGAACTAGCAAGATGATTACGCTTGAAGTATTCATTCGAAGAATCGAGGTTCCGCAGAGCAGATGGTCAGGCAAAATGCTAAAAGCGATTCTTAATAGTTTCGGGAGGATCCCGAGACGAGGATGGCTCTAGTGTCGTTTTCTGTATTGCGAGAAGTTCGTGTGTGTTATTAGCCTTCAAAAAGTAAGGAAGCAAATGAATGTTGCAACCATTACCACTGCAGATCGTTCATGATTGCAGAAACGGTTCTTGGAGAAGACAACTAAACCTGTCAAGATACTTGACACCTATTTCGAAGAAAATATGCAAGATCGTGAGATAGACCAAAGTGGACGCGGAAAATAGTCTTGAAAGAATGTTGACCCATTTACACTAGGGCGGTAAACCAAGCGGTGAGTGAATATGAAACGTAGAATCTCCCCAAATTAATGATCGATACTGCACGACAGCTGCAGGTGGCACAACAATGCTATGAAAATATGACAAGGCAAGGAAAGCCATCGGGGTGGAAGGCAAGCATGCATTAGAAAATCCTCATAGAGCAGCATTTGACCGGTGAAATATGAAGATAAAGACCTAAGAAAGGCAAGAAGCGTATGAGGAGCATATATCTCATAAATGCTCTCAAACGTGACTGTCATAAACAAAGGTAGCGACTTAACATGTAAAAACTTTGTAAGTTGACAATGAAGTGGCACGAGTCGTGCAGTTGGATGCAGTCACAAGGAGGCAACTTGCAAGATAACCAATTATAAAACTTCTACCTTCAAAGCGCGAAAGAGCACACCCTCATGAACCTGGCGGTATGCAGAGAGCATGGAAACCAGTTACATACTACATGATATGACGTTAAAAAGCGTTCGATAAATTACAACTATTTGATTAAGTGCGCTGAAAAACTCAACATGCTAGCGTGAATGACACGTTTCTAGGAAGCATCACATCCATAAGGGTAGTTACATTGAAAAGCAATGGAGAAACCATAAAGGAGAAAAAATATAGCAGGAAATCTTCCAAGGTGACACCCTTTCTCCGCTATTGTTCGTTTTATGTACGGATCTGTTGGGCTGTAGGCTCAATATCAGATATCTCAAAGTGGCGGTTTGTACCGACCAAGGAATACATGTAACGAACTAATATTATTTGTGGGTAATTTCAAGCTCTTTGCTACCGACGAGGATATCATGAAAAAATATAAACAAATATGTATATATATTTTTTTCGATATATATATAATATATATTGAAAGAAAACGTGGAGATCAGAGTCGACACGCAAGTAATTATAAAGATAAGTTCGGAATGATACACGATAAAAAGCGACGTGAACTAATCCTGATAGAGGTTGGCTCATAAGTCAGAACAGGTTAATAGCAATCGAGATCGAGAAAAACGCAAATATGACCTACTGGCTAATAAACTTGCATCAGAGATGAAATGCGGAACCGAGATAATTCCGTATGTGATGACTTGGTATAGGATTGCAATGAACAACCATAAACGCTATACAAGAGAGATCAGTATATCTGATCACGTCTAGGGATTTACCCAACCGATAGTATTCAAGAAGACACTGGAAAGCATCTCATTTAGTGACCACTACGGATTTCATAAGGATGAAGCAAAAAAGATTAGCACAAGAAATCTGAATGTAGGACAAGTATATCCAGAGTGCCGGAATACAGTCCAGCGCCAAAGTCAATACAGTGAAAAAGATTACTAACCTTTTTATTTTATTTTCTATACATATAAATATATAATTCAATCACCAATCAATCATAATCTAGATATATAATTATCAGAGTAAAACTCTTTATCCGTGAATAAAGAATATAACTCTTCATTTATAAATACTTTTTTATCCATGTATTTGCTCATGAAACAAAAGCTTTATGAAAAAATAGGACATACAAAAAATATCACATAACGTCGTGATTACTGTTTTCACAACGAAACGGAAGAACGTACCTTTTTTATGAGCGTGCTCATGCTTCACATTGGTCAATCTTCCCAACATAGTTCAATATCACTTTTGCTAATTTTGTGCCATAAAACATAAATAACAAAGATGTTGAATGATTAAGATTTCAGATAATAACAAATTATAAATTCAAGAAAACACTGGAAAATTTAAAATCATCAATTTAGGCGAAGAAAGCCATCAAAAGGAAAATGTCTAGAAACTTTCAACTTAATGTGTGAAGATTCAATAGCGGTAGATAATCAAAACTAAGAACTGAAAATCGAATAAGCTTTAAAATAATATAAAATGCAATTTCAGAAAAGTTGCAGTTCAATAAATTTTATTATTAGATAGTTAATTTAATTAATTTATAGCGTATATTTATACCACAAATTATTATTTGAGAGCAATAAGTGATTGAATTACAAAGAAAGTTTGAAAATTTATCAGAATCAGGAAAGGAAAATACAAAAAATGCACGACAGATGCAGTTTTTGCAACATTCATATAAAACGAGAAAAAGGGCGGGAAAAGAGAGGTAAATAAGCACCTCCACGTCTTTTTTATTTTCCAAATCACAAATACGAAGAAAACAAAATTCGAAACCGAAAAATTGGCGAATAATTAAATTTCAAATTTATACGACATGTTTCAGATGAAAAACAAAAATTACGAAGTGCATGATAGAAAAACAGTAGCAAAATGAAATAGCACAAATTAATGCAAAAATTGGAATGGACCAAATCAATAACATTTCATCTTGTCCGATTTTTGTACATTGAGATAATTTTAGATGAGTGAATAAATCACGCCACGAAATAACGGACCTTAACTTAGCAATTTGGCGAAGTCTCTATGCAAATAGTTGTCTCATTAGATATACCCTTATAAGATAACCCTGTATGGTACGAAATTAAGCTAGATCTGGGATGAAAACTAGATCGAGTATACTGGTCTTTTCTTGGTAGCGTTTGTTGTCTGAGATGGAAAATGTCTACTTCTTTTTTGCCGAAAATATGAAATTTTCTTATTCTACCTCTAACATGAACGATTCTCTGAATAACCTTTGATAGATATTGTAAGTGTACAATGCATTATAAATGTAACAGTTGACACAATGACTTTCTCAAAATAACCTGTCATTTTTAATATAAAAGTATTCAACTATACATTGCTAATTGAGGGTGGACTTGAGCAGCTTTTTAAAACTTTACAATTGCCTTGTTGGTTTTAGGATGTCATTATTAACACACATGAATGCTAATTGCCAAAGTTTTTAAAATAAGTTTTGGATAATCATTTTTAATACTTTGTAGTCAAATAAACAGGTACACGGATTTTTTAAAATTTTAATAAATATGATATATGAGGAAGTTATTAATATAGAGGAAATGAAGAATTTAAATCTGCCGAAGACATTCAGTAATACCGAATCAGAACTTTAACTATTATTATATTATAGACTAAATCACTTAGAATATTTCTACAAAAAAATAAAATTACAAATTGCAAAATTCAAATAGTTTTATTCATAACGTGCGCACGAGCAATAAATCAAAATTCCTCATTTATAGTGTAGTGTAGAATATTCTCCACTTCTTCCATGTACTTAATCAAAAATTTTTGGAAATAAAAGCGATAAATTTTTTATGAAAGCAAAAGATTCCAATTTTCTATCTGCAATAGTTTTTTATGGATGAAGCAATCTAAAAAATTTGATCTTCGATCTTTCCAATGCTTTTATTCAAAATTTAAAATAGTTTACTTGACTTTTTTTGCAAAATTCTTTCAACTTCAACGCTTTAATTTGTTTAAAATCATATTAATCAATTTAGATTTTTTTTGAAATTTATATCTTGTCAAGTGTCACAGTATATGTAGTAGTCTGATATGAAAATTACATGCATGTCTCATAACGAGTCATGAATTTTAGAGTGAAATGCGAGTTATTGAATAGTAAAAGGTAATTAAAAAAATTTACGCGACTGCTATTTACGAGAAGGAATAGAATAAT